TTTCATTGCCGTAGTTTTTTAAATTGTTATTTTCATTCTGTGTTATTTATACTTGTTTCAACAATTCCGAGTGTTTCTTGTTACTTTTTCATTGTATCAGATATTATTATGCGTTGGAAAAGTCATATTCCGCACGACCGGAGGTGAGCTGTCAATATTTCTACATTGCGTGGCCTCGGTTGCTACAACAACATAATTTTCCTTTTATAATATATCTATCAAATTAATTTTAGTCAAAAAGAGATTCGCTTTACTGAACTTATACCAAATATTTCACAAATTAAAATACAACTGTTTTGCAAAAGTTACAATGTCCTTAGTAGCATCGGTTCCCGTTTCCAAATATTGCGTTACGCACAGTCAAAGAAAAATATTTCAGCATTTACATATACATGTATGGTAACGTATCTGTCACTAAAATAATAAAGCGAGCGTTGGCCTAGTTGGCCTAGTCGTTAAGGTGTCTGCCTCATAACCCATGTATCATGGGTTCGAGCCCTACTTGGTCACAACCATGTTTCTTCATATGACATCAGTACTGGTTAGTTCAAGGAAGCAGTCTTGAACCTGATTGATATAAGTCGCAAGAATATGTTTCGTAATCGAGCTTAAATAAGTTACATTAAACTAAATATAATACTGTTATTTCTATCTGTTTAATTGAATCAAAACTGTCTGATTTGCGTGTTTTAATGGAGAAAAATACAGTTACATAATAGAAATTAATATTGTAGGTAGATTTCGGATAAATAGTGCATTTATATGTGAACTATATTTTCTAATTTTAGTAACCTACTACTGTGACATGGTACTTCCATGTGCTATAAAAATAATTAGAAATACGTCAGGAATAACTATACGAGTTTGTTTTTCAAATGCGCCTGCTTTATGTGAATCATGCCCGTAATATATATTTTTATGTATTTTTCAATAAAACTTTCTCTTCAAGGGTACTCTCAGCATACAATAATAAAACTGCTGGCACAGTTGGCACTAGTTCAAAGATATTTTAAACCACAATTTTCTGAGAAACGATGTACTTTGATAAATCGTATAAAACACTAGAATTTAAGAACATAAAAAGTGCATTTCTGAAGAGAGGATTAATAAATCGCCCAGATCTAGATCTGTGATGCACGATTACAACCATTTATACTTCTTAACGGATTTTTGCGACGCAAAGGAATCAACACACGACATATATTTTGGACAAATGCTGACGCCACGTTGTATTCGTCATGACGAAAATTCAACTGTCAATTTTGAAGACAACATATATAAAAAGTAATGGGTATTGTTAAAAGTTTAACCAAAATTTTAAAAACCAGAATTCATTACAAATTTAACTGGAATATATATCATATACTCGTTTAGCATAAACATGATAACGTAGAAAAGGAAATACAAAATGATAATAGAATCATTGTTACGTGTCTGATAACAAATGAATACATTCCGGGTACAATTAGAGAACAGTGTAAAGATTATTAAATATCTGAAACTAGGTCATTAGTTCAGATCACAATGCCTCTGACACATGACCCGTTATTACAAATCTGACATAAAAAGTCCTAAATACAACCTATGCAAACAACTGTTTCTCTGATCTTAGACAGAAAGTAAAATAAAACACATCGCAAGGCGCACATTAACTATGATAAAAAAGTAATAATATTTATTTTATTGGAAAACCTGAGAATTATGTTTACTGTAATATCAGATTTATCTATACGATAGATACAAGTTGGAATCATTAAACTTCAGAAATAGAGGCGTTTGATAAAAAAACAACTCCACCAGCAATTTAGTCGAGATAGTTTTAATCAGTTTCAGTAATAATAAATGTAAAAAATATGTTTCTATATAAAACAACATTATGTTTAATCTGATATTAATATTATGCAAATTTGATAGCATAATATTTACATCGGACCATTTTCTTACTACACTTTCATTATATTCAATAATAAGCACGTGTACTTGCACCAAGACATTTTTTTTACATCATCAAATCAAAACGAATTTTTGGATACTTTTACTGGTGCAAAGGTATTATAACATATATTTGATTATAGATATATATAATCATAAGAAGAAGCATCTTCCAAGTTCGAAGGAGTTAAAACAATATAAAAATATATTATTACTGCTTCTTCACGGGTGCCATTTTTATGGATGCCATTTTTATTTCTAGTATTATATATCAAATTTGTATTTCTGAGCAATCAAATATCTAGTGCGGTGATATTCTTTCATAATATATCGATTTTTATAAAAGAAAGCAATATTTTTTATTCAAGTGTCTGCAGTTGCTTATATGAGCCGCGTCATGACAAAACCAATATAATGGGTTTGCGACCAGCATGGATCCAGACCAGCCTGCGCATCCGCGCAGTCTGATCAGGATCCATGCTGTTCGCTATCAGTTTCTCTACTTGTTATAGACTTTGTTAGCGAACATGTTTTTCAACAGACAGAAGGGGAATAATTGTGATGCTACGACTAACGTAAAAAACAACAATTGAGAGACAAAATCATAATAGATTTCTATCTATTGAATTTATTGAAAATTTAAATTATATCGTAATATATCAAATATTGAAATGGAAATAATAAAAAAACACATCTAAAATGCTTCTTGATTACATATCAAAATGGAGGGTGCTGAATTTGAAAGGGTAATTTAAAAGATAAAGATATCTGCGAAATATTCGGTTAACGGCGTAGTCAAGTATTAAAAAAAATAGAACGCGTTATTTGAAACAATAGGCAATTCAGTTATAAATATCAACATTATGTTGTGACACTTTCATATTCTGTTTTGTTTCATTAATAAAAAACAGTCCAAATTATGTTCTACTAAACGATAAAATTATAATTTCGGAAATGTCCAACTGATTTTGACACTATTGCGAGTTTAATATTACAATTCAATAAAGGTAGAACACTAAAATACAATTTTATGAAGATTATTTTCAGAATGTGTTTTAGATATCTGAATGGTTTTATAAATGAGAAGGAATCGAAGTATGCTGGCAATATAAGATATTGATATAGCGACCTTTGTGCACTCGATTTTAACTTCTTTTTTTGGCACAGAATAGACAAAGTCAATTTCGCAATGCGTCTGTTTTTATTCCTAAACACATAAAATGTCTCCGATGATTAATTGCCCTTAACCTTTAGTTATCTAATCAGGGGAAAAAACGTGCTTTGATCTAAAATAAAAAGTGACAGGAAGAATTTTACAAAAGATAATGCAGCATTACAAGATTACATAACCTGTCAATCAATTAAAAGAATGTTTTGCGGAAGGTCTTCGGCCTAGTTTACATTTTTAAATTGGTAACTTAGTCTACTTTTTATAAACAGATTAAGTATAAAAATTACTGGTATATTTCGTTTTCTTCATGTGGGTCTAGATAAATGTGTGTGAGATATATTTTCCCAATATTTACATAACAGTTGAACATGACAATGCTACGTGGGATATCCAAATACGTTAAAACAAAAGGGTGATTAAAAACAATGTGGGTATTCGTTCCTCGGCCATGAAGTAACAAGAATTCCTTTTTTCTAAAGCGGTCTTAACCTATTTTTATTCGGTTTCTTTCATTATACAATTCATTGGAAACTGTCTAAATGAATTAGTGGGGGGATAATGTAACTTACCATAGTTTGATTATTATGATGAAGTTGAATAGTAAGGAAGTTGTCCTTCAACATATCTAACATTGTACAACATCATTCACTTCTTATATACTTATATAATAACAACAACAGGAAAGGTTAGTTTTATGTGAATTTTAGCATTAACTTTTCTTTTCACTTAAGACGTGTCCTTTCTGTCGTTATCTTACAAAATATTCGCTGATAGCACAAAATCTTGCACCATGTACAATTAACAGGAAAATAAATCTATCACAAGGTATCAAAGAGTATAACATTAAACTTTTGTTTTTAATACATTAATGTACCAGTCAATTCAATGAATCATTTTTTTTATTTTGATATTTCACAAAATGAAACCTTCAGACAAATAACACCATGAATTTTATTAAGAATATTATAGAAACGTCTGGTTGTATGGATGATAAAAATACACTTGAGCCGCGCGTTATGGGTTTGCGACCAGCATGGATCCAGACCAGCCTGCGCATCCGCGCAGACTGATCAGAATCCATGCTGTTCGTTTACAAACCCTATTACAAGTAGAGAAACTGATAGCGAACAGCATGGATCCTGATCAGACTGCGCGGCTGCGCAGGCTGGTCTGGATCTATGCTGGTGGCAAACGCATTACGTTGCTTTTGTCATGACGCGGCTCATTTATAGTGTACTTTTTAGCACGATGTACTTACGAATATAATTATGAAAACAAAATTATTCAAATAAAAAAAATAATATGAATTTCTTTTAAAAAATGAATTTCTTTACTATTTCTCTTAAAAGATTATATACGATTTTTCTTCTTATTATAATAGATAGCTCTGTTATCAAAAGTAGAGAAATATCCAGCACAGATCAAGAGCGAAAGTGACTTTATCAAATTCGATATCTTTCGTCTTAGATTGTAAATCGTATGCACTATTTCCAAAGAGTTCACGAACCAGAACCCGGAGCAAACTATTACATATACAAGTAATAAATTAAGGTAAGCGCTAAGAGGATTAAAGAAGACATTGTGAAACAAATAGAGGTACTGATGTTTTGGATAGATGAGAAAAGGCCCCAAGTGTTTTGAAGATATCTTGTATTTATTGCAAAATCAGACTTGCAATTAAATATGTCATGTACCTTTCTTTATTCATTGGTGATTTTCCCCGATAAATATTTAAATAGAATTAATAGTATGCAATTTTGGGCTTTGTGTGGTTTTTATTTTTTATTGGATATAACGTACACAATTTTTTAATTGTGCATGCAAATAAGTTTTAAGGGAGGTAAATCTGCCAATCATTTAGAGCATTGCACATAGTAAGTTATTAACAGTTACCTACCTTTTTAAGAATTCTTTATGCTCGATCTGTCTCAGAAGACCTGATCTCATCATAATACTTTGAAAAGATGGCCGATCAATTGCCCATAATTTACACGCCATCAATGCTGTAAATCAAAATAATGTCAAGGTCAAGTAGAAATCATTACAATATCATATATCTATCTCTAACGTGTTATCATTTAATGTGAAACCATGATATAACGATATATAAATTATGATGAGGTGATAAGATAATAGGTTTTAGACTAATGACTCAGTAGGAGAAATGTAAAAGTACTGTTATCATGAATTTACAGTCTAAACTGTATTAATGATCATCTCCTTTTGGCAGTCACATAACCTAAACGGCGATTTTGTGACGCCCATGACGTAAATCACTCTATTTTATACATCTGTTCAACGGTCACCTGCTGACCACGGTCGACGTCCCGGCCATCTAAAATGTTCCCGAATCTAAATTTCGGTCATCTTAAGCGGTCAGCGCAGGTGAAACGAAACTTTTGTGTATTTTAATTAACTATATCTTAAAGTCCCAAAAGCCTAAAATCAAAATATGAATTGTTTACATAGATTAAGGACCACAATGGAAATAAGAGCTTGCTCTTTTTTGTGTTATCCTTGGTTTTGGGAACATGTCATGGTTTACATAATATATAGTATTTATCCATTTATTTATTTATTTATTCATTTATTTGTAATTGTGTTAATCTATATTGTGTTTGTTTATCATGTAACATGTTTACCTTTATGCCGAAATAAATCTATCTAAATATATCTATCTATCTATTTGCTGGGGCATTCATAAATAGGAAATATGCAAATGATAATTCAGAACAAAAAAGGAAAATCGTATTTTTTGTGCAATTCATACCCTCTTAAACTTTTTTATTCACAAAGATTTATTCTGGAAAAAACGGAGTGAGTCACTGATCTGAAGTTTGGCACACAATTTATTGATCTAGACCTACATCAAATGGAACATAATCCCGAAAGAAAAGTCCATTGCCTACATGTCAAAAATCCTCAGTGGTGTCACTTAAACATTGTACTGACAAAGGCACTGGAGGGAGAGCTAACATACATTGTGTATGTTACAACTGGAACATTTTTGTGCAAATATTTCGTTTCTTCATTCCTTTTTAACTTAATAAGTTCCATGTCCATGATTTCTATTTGTTTATATATACAATTGCCAATTTATTTATATTATATACTATCTTTGATGCGTTAATGATCTCCGCATTAAGAACGAACTCGCTATTATCCAAAGGGAAATAAATGCAACATGCTTACTAGCATTTGTACTGAACAGAGTTACATACCTTTAACACTGGCAGTCCTAGTACAGTTGTATAATATTGCAAGTTCCCCAAATACTTTCTCTGGACCCATCGTACATAATTTGGAATTCCCTTTTGTTACTTCAACTTTGCCCTCTGAAAACAAGAAATTGTGAAAGTACGTGTATCAACAGTGTATTTCTACATATTGTAAAATGTAAACAAAGAGCGAAATGTAATTCATCCTCTATATAGAGTTGTAGTTTACATACTGAGCTCATGTATAGAAATGATTTACATAAATAATCTTTTTTTTTCATATTTATTATCAGTTTTAAACCACTGTTTATAAATAAAGCTCGTGACATTTAACTTCTTGCACGGAAGTTATTGAAGAAACGACAATTATTATATATTTCATTTCCCGGAGCACTAGCAAGAAGAAAATACCGTAAAATATCAATGAATCTAAAGGTATCATTCATGTTTCTGTAAACAATTCGATAATTACGAACAACATGTTGAAATGAATTATTAATTCCTAACATTATCGGGAAATATAACCATATCCTTGAAAACGAATCTGCAAACTTTTATATACATAATGCGTTGTCCAAAGATTAAGCAGGTCACCTTAAATTTTTAATATCATATGTGAGTAGAAAGATTTTATTTATTATCATCAATATTTGTTCTTAACTTTTTCAAAAAAGTTGAGATCATAACATCGTCGGGAAATAGAATGATAAAAAAAGGAATCCCCCCCCCCTTTAAAAAAACAAAAAAAAAAACGACCAGGGATTTCAGCATTTGTTATGTTATTATAGTTGAGATTTTTGCCTGTATTGATATTCATAAATACCTGATATTCCGATCAATATGAGTATATTTGATATGTGCGAAGTCTACTTGACAGAAAGTGTAATAAGTAAAAGACCTGTGCAGCTAGGTATGTAAGTACTCATAGATTCTGACTCATTGATTATTATTTTCTAATACCTATCCGACTCACGTACAAATTTTGGCAAGCATTATAGAAGAGCATTTAAAATCCATTTTTGAATTTTAGAATGGTCAGGATCACAAGCGTGTCGGTATGTAACAAGAAATATTGTTGAAAAAATACTGGTGTAGTTTACTTGTTTAACAAGTGAAAGTTGGGTGAAAAATTGTTACAACACTTCAAGAGAAAATGTGTTTCTTCCTTCCGCAAAATAAATAAAGGAATACAAATGTATGCCAAAAAAGAACTAATTAAGGCAGAAGAAGATTCACGAAGTGTCATTATATACTAAATGTTGTTTTATAGCTACATTTAGTTTCAATGTAACCGTTATTTAGAAAGAATTTGAACACAAGCGAGGCATCTTTTATAATAGGACCTCTACTGAGGTAAAAACTCCCTTAAACAGTTTAAAATTGTTACATAAATAAAATAAAGCACAAATGGACAAAACTGGAGAGGATAAAGAAATAAGTCCAGAATCAAATTTGTTTATTGATATTTGTGATATTCTAAGCCCGTTTAGAGTAAATTTAGATACCGATTATTATTTGTGGACCAATTTGGACAATAAAAATTATGGTTTTGGAAACACGGAGTAGGGGAATGTTCTGAATTTTTGCACACAAGTTATCGCTCCTGACCTATTAATACAAAATTTTAATTGTTACACAAATCCCGGAAAAATATGTTCAGTCCCATCATGCGGAGTCCCTTTACGTTGGCTAATGTACAATATACATTGACAATTAAGCTATTGTTAATTTCATTAATTAGATATACTAACGCTTACTTCTCTTTTAAACGTGCTTGATGTTTTAAAAATTATATAATACATAATAATTCACTCAGTAATCTATTCATTATTCCTAAGGGAAAGGTTTTAAATACTGTTTAAATTGAAAAAAAGGGGAAACTTTCTGTTTTAGGGTTTTTTGTAAGGTACTGCTGTTACCTTTTTAAATTTTAAAACTAGTTTTAAAACCCGTCTAGCAATTAAGAAGAAAATTACTTCTTATTCCCTTTTATCCCCCCCTTTCAGAATTCCCGTAAAATAACAAAACGGAAGGGAATTTTAAAAATATAAAAAATAAGGGAAAAAAAAAGAATTTAATTTCCCAAATGAATTTAGCTTTTGGTTTATAGCAGAAGAAAGGTGCCGTAACTAGACAATCCCGGGTTTTTGTCTGACCCAAAGAGTCAATTTTAAAAATTTCTGAATTTAATTAAAAATTTAAAATTTTTTTTTGATTTGCCCGTACAAAATTTCTTACAAGTGTCTTCCAAATTTTTTTTGCTTCAAACATGCCCCGGGAAACGTAGTTTTCCTCGGAAAAAACAGATTTCAGATTTTTCTTCAATTTTAATCTCAGCTGAAAAGTATACATATCAGGTTAATTTCTAATTATCTATTTCACTTCATGAACTGTCAGCTATGAGATTTGATTTATTCAAGACATAAACATGTTCCAAATTATCAATACGTTAAGTGTATTTCTTCGTACGTTTGCTTGTTAAGACACGGTAGCAAACAAACACCGTGACACTATCTATAATTTTATCTTCAATATTTCAATTAAAACATGTATACATATGACAGATATAACGGTTATTCGTCCTCAAATAATCTTACAACCATCAGCATGGAGTTTATAGAAGAAGAAAGCAAGATTCTCTTGTTTTCGACAGGATATCAACTGGTAGATGAAGTGGCACTGACCCCAAACCAAGGTCAACGTCATGGTCCTCTTTGTTTAGCCACATAAACTTTAATAAAGAAATCAACTGCATGTGCACCTAAGTGAGTGAGTGAGTTGGTGAGTGAATGAATGAGTGAGTGAGTGAGTTGGTGAGTGAGTGAGTTGGTGAGTGAGTGAGTTGGTGAGTGAGTTGAGTGAGTGAGTTTGGTGAGTGAGTGAGTTTGGTGAAGTGAGTGAGTTGGTGAGTGAGTGAGTTGGTTAGTGAGTGAGTGAGTTGGTGAGTGAGTGAGTTGGTGAGTGAGTGAGTTGGTGAGTGAGTGAGTTGGTTAGTGAGTGAGTTGGTTAGTGAGTGAGTTGGTGAGTGAGTGAGTGAGTGAGTGAGTGCAAACATTATGATTGAAGAATTGAATGATTTTATCATTAAGCCACTGCACATAATAAGATCTAAATTAAATGTAGAGTTATTAAAGCAAGACATACAGTTACTTTCCTCAATGAATAAACAAAATTGTATCTATCTTAACAAACATCTTCATTGGAAATGAACATGGTAAGGCTACAATTTTCTTGTCCTGAAATCAGTTCATCTTAAACAGAAGTGGTAAAGAATGTATTAAAAGGTAATTATATTTCAAATGAAAAATGTTAAAAAGTACGATTCAATGCAGGTGTTCTCGTTTATCTAAATCGCTAACACGAGTGGAATTTTATAATTTGACGCCTAATCTACATTCAAGCATTCACCGTACACAGTTTTTCATGATCTCTCATCTATAATATCAGCAGTATTTTTTATTTCATTTTTTTTAAGATCGGCAGTGAAAATACGCTAGAATATCACAAAACTGGGTGTAACGCCCTACGATAATATATTATGATCCTCTAAAAACAAATTTTATTTAAATATATGAAAGAATAGTAAGTAACCAGTGGCAACATGGCCTCAGTGGCAACATGGCCTCGACTTTGAGATAAAAATGAGATGATTACATAATTATTCTGAATAAGATAACAATTGCATGTGACTATATTTAAGTGGACAACTGTAGCATACAATTTGACAGATGTGTTTATGACTTTATACAAAATGGGGGGAGAGAAGAAAAATAACCAGGCTTGCTTGCAATCCCCCATTACATATCTCATTATTTTACCTTCATATTAAAGTGACATTATGACCATCCAAGTGTACAGGTTAAAGTAAAAAATAACTTTTATTTTGTCCATAATTGTTTTGCTATCAACTACAACATTCGATTAGGCCCCATGCTGTCCCGTCCGTCTCCACTAACCTATTATCAAAGTTGTCTATCCTAAGAGTGACAAAACAGCGTGCAATTTGTGAGATCCATATCTTAATATGTTACGCTGCAAAAAATTTTACATAGGATATTTGTTTAAATACACTTCTTAAATTATTTTGTTTACATTTACTTGATAAAAAAGAGTGGGACAGTCTTTTTAATGTTTCTTAGGCATAGTTATAATTCAATCCCTGCTTATTTAACAATTATCAGTTATATTTTTATCCTTCCACATATAACTATAATAATTATTCAATACTTCAATCTTTTGAAATTTTGTCATAACCATGACTACGGGGAAAACATTTAGCATAATGTTAACTTTTCACTAATGTTATTGTACCCTTCAATTAGCCGCCGACAATTAATTATTACACCCATGACTAGTAAGTTAGTACTAGAAAAGTCGGAAATGTTCATTCCAGCGAAGATTTAACAGAAACTGTTCGTTTAAGAGCCATTTCTTCTCTCTCGGTTTTGGTCAGCATTTAGTCTTTAACAATGCTGCATCATTGCGGTGTCTTCATATTAAATGTGGCAACAAAAGATAAGACAAACACATTTGATAAGTAAATAAATAAACCAAACCCATCGTGTGTAAGCTATAAACAGTATTTTCAGAAAGCACCAAGACAATGTTTTGTCGACCATAACTATTTAAAACAGTAATATTTCTCGTCTCACACATTACGTAATTCTATCATTGGTTTATTACATGGAAATTGTCCGATTAACGAGGTAAACGACCTTTTATCACAATGATTTGGCGGGAAATATCAATAATCAATACTGCTTAATTTTTAATACGTGCTTTATAACAAATATCGTTATCAGTTATTATGTTGATTGAGATTATATAATATTTGGATGTCAAAACATTTTACACCCGCTGCATCACCTATAAAATGTGCAGGTATATTTTATGATCGTAAAATATACGAATATTTATAAATATCAGTTAGCATTCTGCTAAAACAATGCTTTGTCTACGGACAAATGTTTAACATTAAATTTTTTACTTTTTTTATTTTCGCACAAAACATTTACATAAAACACGAATTGGCATGTTTCTACGGAATGGCGCCTCAACAAAATCGAAGTTCTAAAAATGTTTACGAGTACAGCTGCAGATGAAATAAACATAATGTT